GAGAGAGAGAGAGAGAGAGAGAGAGAGAGAATGTGTGTGGCAAGCCCCTTCTCTCCCAAATGTCCAGCCTTCTTTCCTTGTCACATTTCTTAAAGCTCACAACATCATTCCCACTTAGATCCAGGGAATGTGAAGGAATTGAATCTTCCCCTGCAGTGGGGCAGTGTCTGAGAGCTTGAATGCATGGTGAGTCACATACAGCCCTCTTGGTCACCAGACTGAAGGTGGCAGGGAAGGGGGGTCATATACAGGAGGGAGTCTGGAAAGACAAAACCCCCTGGAATGTCTGCTGGGAGAAATGATCTGTCCCTGAACTCTGTTTCTATTGGGACCCTGAAAGTCCCCAACCACACATATTAGGAATTCCTGTAGTCCCTCTAGTTTGGGGAAAGAGAGCTCACAATAGGATAGGGACACACACATCTTTTGCCTAGAGTCAAGATCTTCCAGGCAAGGGTTCCCAGGATGGGTGAGTGAGGGCAGTAGCCATCTCCATCTGGGTCACCTAAAACTGCCCCGTGCACTTAAGAGTCCCTCAGACTGCCCAGGAAAAGTGTACTGTGTTGTCTGTTGTCTGGCTTTCTTCCTGTTCTATTGTATTTTTTTTTTTTATTTCTTTCGAGGAGGAGACAGCGTTGGTAACCTCCATGGTGCACAGTCACCTTGCGGTCCCGGGACGCCCGGGCTGCTATTTTCATAGCCCTACCCCGCTTGAACAGAGTTAGGGAAAAAGTGTCTGACTGCTGTCTTGCTGCACCCAACTGTGGGCTAAAAGAGGTTGAGGGCAGGCTGTCCTTGGAACCAACTTGCCTGCCTCCCAGGGTGCGCCTGCCAGCCCCGGCTGCGCCCTGCCTGGAATCAGATTGTCCCGGGCTCCTGCTGGCATTGAGGACTTAGAGGGGGAAGAGGAGTCGCAGTTTTCAACATCAAGTCAGACATCCTCTGCCTCCCCTTTCCATCCTCGCTGCTTTCACTTACCCTAAGATACTGTGCCCACCTGCATCCCCTCTATTGGGAGATCACTATTCCCCCAAATTCAACCTGAGCCTCCAGCCTTCCAACTCTGATTTCCCAGGGCTTTCCGGACCCCCACGGTGTCTCTTCTTATCCTTGCCTCCCAGCTCCTTTTTTTTCTACACTCTAGCTCTTGGCTAGCTTCTCAAGCCCACCCCACCTCGTCCCCCCTCGCCCCACTACCAACCTTCTCTCCACGGGCTCCCGGGTGGGTGCTGTCCCCTGAGTGGCCACTGTAGGAACCAGGGGTAGGGTTCTCTGGGGTAGCTCATCTCTTTTGGAAGCTCATCTCCCTCTGGAATTTGCATCCTCCGGGGAGGGGTCAGGGGTCCCAGAAAGCTGTCTCCTTGGGAAAACAGGTTACGAATCTCCCAGCCCAATCTGTCGCCCCCTAATACCTCCCCATACAAGGTCTAACTCGAGTCCCTCGCCTGCTTCCCGTGTTTACGCTGCGCCTGAGTCTGGGGGACTTGGAGGGTGAGCCCCAGCTTGGGCTGGAGCCAGGCAGCCAGCGCAGCCCCTCTAGCGGGCCGGGCTGAGGGGGGCTGGCTGGGAAGCGCGCAGAGCTCACCGGCTCACCCCTCCCTCTCCTGGGACCGGAGGGGACTGACGCGGGAGGGAGGGTTTGAAGGAGGGGGGGTTGGCTCTCATCAATTCCGCTGCCACCTCCCTGCTGCCTGTGGGGAGGCGGGGAGGCGGGCAGGCGGGCAGGCGGGCGGATTAAGACTCTTAAGTCGGAGAAGTTTGCGCACAGCTTCACTGCGGGGCCAGCGGAGGCAGGCGCCGCGCGAAGGTGAGCCTTCCAGACTTTGGGGAGATAGACAGCAAGCTTGGGGAAAGGACCGTTGCCTCTTAGGCTACAATACAACCTGAGGCTGGGCTTACACCATCACTTAAGGCAGAATTAAAGTGTAAGGACATCGGGAGGGAGGTTGGAGAGGGAGAGCTCAAGACTAACGCAGTTTGCTTTTCTGTCCAACTAGGAAAGCCAGCCCCCCAGACGCCGGGTGGGCTGCGCCTCGCGGGTCGCCAACCTTCCCAGGTTGGAGAGGTGCGTCCATCCCTGCACCTCGCCCAGAGGCTGGCATCTCCTGTCCAGGAGATGGGCGTTGAAGCTTGAGTTCCTGAGAGCCACCACCTGAGCTGTGCCCTGCCGCCCAGTGAGAGAATTCCTGGTAAGGAGGGTCTGGGAATGTCGGGGACTTAAAGCTTTGGGGGGTCCCAGGGATGGCTAATAGTGCACTTTGCGTTTTTTATTGCAAAACTTCAGTTGGTTTATGATGATAAAGGTTCACTTTACCTTGATTAAATTAAAAATAGGTATCCTGGGAAGGTGTTACAAACTTACCATTTCGTGACTTTTACAGTGCTGTTAGTATCAATTTCCTCTCAAAAGTTGTATTTTCTGGTTTATTGGATGTAATAATGATGGGGCTTAAAGTTGTAGATTTTTCTCAAAATGTATTTATTAACTAACAAAAAGATAACATCAGCATCTATAAGATGTGTCGTGTTGTTCTGAATATTGGAAATGAGTACAGTAGTGAATGGAGTTGCTTGTTTAGTCATGTTTTACAGAGAATTATTTTCCAACAATCATTTATGCATAGCAGCCATTCTTCACACCTATTAGGAAAAATATGTTGTGTGCATAGTTTCCAAAAGAGTACTCTTTTTCATGATGCTCTTTCCAAGCCGGGGTGAAAGACATCAAGAAAATCTCTTAACAAATTAATTTCTCTCCCTGAAACATTCATTTTCCCTGAGGTTCAAGGATATCCAGTCAAAGTAAAAAACGCAACAATCCAATTTCATTTTTTAACCTATCATGCTGACTTTATTTAACAAATAGACCTAAGAAAAGTTGTATCTAAAATTATATAGCTTTAATTTTATGTGCTATATGCAAGACTCTTAAGATGCCATGACCTTCAGGAGACCATGACCATTTTGTTGCTGTAGTTAACCTGAGCAAACTCATCTAATCAAAGTTATTTATTGAAATTATTGGATAATTGAAAGTGAAATGTTCAAAACAAACCAATTTGACAGTGTCTTTCCTGAAATTAGTCTTTCAATAGCAGAATATCCAAGATTGAGTGTGTCTTAAATGATCATAAAAAATAAATATTTTCTACGTTAGGGCTGACCGGCTTACCATTAAGGGCAAAGTCGGAATGCTTTTTGTGCTGTGGGGTTTATAAAGTACAATTTATAATAGGCTGTCATTAGCCTAGCATGTACTAGTTAAAGAACTCAACTTTAGTTGAAATTGTTGGTTTTATATACTAATATTAAATATGAAAAAAGAGTAATATGATTAGATTTGCCACTGATTAAGATTAAGTCAGTCACTCATTTCTACTCAATATACTAACAGCTCAAAACATCTTCGGCTAGCATTTGTTTTGATTCAAAAACAATGTTTCTAATCTATAGTTGTTATGGGGAACTAAAGCCACAAGAATAATATTCAGTCATATTGTAAAATATTCTAGGATAATTAGCATGAAATCCTCACTTTAATTGATTCACAAAAATATATAATCTTAGAGTTGTATTGTTTCATGATGTTTGGAGTTGAAAAAAAAATAGCTAATATAAATATGTCTTCTCTTTCCCATTTTCTTATATTTTGTAAACTTGGATGATGAAGGGTGATAGATGGATAAAGATTGCCTTTGCTTTAATCAGTTGAAGGAAGAGAGCTAAATATTAGTGTGGTTGTGCCGTGGCAGCTTTATTCTTGGTGAACCTCTTGGACTCTTTTTTATAATACTTTAACATGAATTAAAATATTATCTCCTGTTGTTTTTATTAAATATAAGTGAAATGGGAATAGGAGACCGGTGATATTTGCAATAACAGCCTAAACCAGTGTTCTCAATTGGGGCTGCAAATTAGAATCAATTGGAAAATTTTCACAAAAATATGGATGCCGACTCTACCCCAAGCCAATTAAGTCAGAATATCCAACGAAGGGGTCTGCATTTTGATGTATTTCTCTAGGTGATTGTAATATGTACCCGGGACCGAGAGCCACTGACCAAGATGTTTTCCAATAGATTTGATATAGCCCATTAAAGTTGGGGGGGGGGGATTGATTGACACAAATCATGTTTGTTGTTTTGCTGGTCTAATCTTTGGTTTTGATAGAGCCACTTAATGTCAGAGCGTGCTGATAAAAATAAATGTTGCTTGTGGTATTGCTTGCCCAATTTTTCCATAAGTAGTAATATATGCATATAAAATACATATATAACTTGACTTCCTAATTAGAAGAAAGAGATCTTATTTGATGTCAGCTATTTAAACCATAACAGCTTCCAGGAAATACTTTTTTTTTTCTCCCCAGAAAACTAGCTATTGAATTTGAAGCTTATTTGGCTATCTAGAAAATGCTTTAGCTCTAGGAACTCTATCTCTAAGAGTTCTTAAAAAAATGCAAACAAAATTTGATCTCATTTTAATAAGGCATACCTGATGTATAATGTGTACATATGTACCTTTTTGAAAAAAAGGAAAGAGGAAAAGGGTATTATTCTTCTTGGCACGCCAATTAACCTATTCTGGGTGCTGATTATGTTCTAGTATTGTCACAAAAATTAAGAGGTATAAGCTCCAACTGCACTTATGAGGCTTATAAGGACAAGCTATTACTCAGATTTTATGTGAGGAAACTGAGGACCCATTAGGTTAATGAGTTTGTTCAAAACCGCAAACCAAGTAAGTTGAAGATGTATTTGAACCTAAGCCTTCTTATTCTGAGTTCAGTGATGTAACAAAACATGTCATTTTTGTATGTTTGAATTTTGTTTTAAGGGCAATTATATTGCATATTTATATTTTTTTAAAATTTTGAGGGCAACATTTATTTTAAAGCAGTATAAGTTAAGAGCACAGATTCTGGCATGGCTCTGTTGGGTTTGACTGCTGGCTCTATCTCTTTCTACCTGCGTGATTCGGGAAACTAATTTAGTCTTTTCTCCCTTAATTTCCTTTGTAAAGTGAGGATTTTCTTTTAGTGAGGATTTAATGAGTTAATATTTGTAAAGCAACTGGGTAGGTGCCTGGTTCATAGTCTGTTCTTTGTAAGTGTTATATTTTATTAAATATCATTTTTTCAGAAAATACATTTTGGTTGTTTATCATATGCCAAGCATCATACTAAGCCTGATAATATACAAATAAATAAGTTATATCCCCGTCTTCAAGGATTTTTGTGTTCAATAAAAATGACCAATGCATACATAGAATATTCCACTCAATTATAATTGAACTGGATGAAATTCCATACTTAAGAGCATGATTTTGTATGACAGCTATATGCTTTTCAATGTTAATATGATCTCCCAGAGCCCCGTATGAGTATTATAAAACTAAGTGATAATGTTTTATGTTGTCACAATGGTATTTATTTGTTTCCAATTTTATCAAAACACAGAAAATCATATTCCCATGTATTTCTGGCTTTAATTTTTGAGGTCAGAAATCCCATAATATAAAATAAAAAATCTAAATATCTGAAATCTCTTCATAAGTGAATCATGAGAATGGGATATTGAGAAAGAATCAGTAGAAAATGTCATCAGAACCTAATTCTCAATGCATCTGAGTCCAATTTTCTAGAATTGTTTTTTTTTTTTTTTTATCTGCTTGGGATAGAGTTTTTCTTTTGTTTTTAAAGAAAAAAAAATTAGTTTTTGTAGAAGGAAGAGTGGATCCGGGAATACAGGTAAAAGTCTTTAATACAGGGCGGCTGACTCGGCAAGATATACCCCACCGGTGCTGGCTGAGCTTCCTACTGTCTGCCTTCAACTCCGCAGCTGCCCGATACCTGCTACCTGCGGATGCCTGAGGTATAAGACTCTATATTGTTCAAATAAAATCTCTCTTTATTAAAAATTGCATATGAATTAGTATTCTTTGTGCAAGAGTAACACAGGTACTCTAAACCTAAAGAGTTAATTCTTAGAGAAATAAAGTACCTGGTTTGTGATATACTTCCTGTTTCTCTAATCAGTATTTAACAATTTTATTGCACTAAAATTCCTATTTGCAAATGAATACCTCTCTTCCTTCTCGTCAAGGACATTCCAATTTTTCTGGCAGATGCTATATTTTTTTTTTGTCCTCACAGTTTCACTGCCATCCCTCTAAGTTTTTATTTCCATTAGTAAAATACTTAAATATGTTCCTAATATTCAGTCACATTTACTCTGTGTGCTGAATTCATCATTCTACAACATGGTCAGACTTGTTTCCTAAGCTTGGATTTTGTCATCTTCTATTCATAATCATTCAGTGATTGTCCAAGGGCTTAGAGCCCCTCTTCAGCCTAGTATTTAAAATGTTTCTTAATATAATTACATTTTATCTTTTCTATACATGACGGGTAGAAGACCTTAATAGCTCACTAATTCTGGTTCTGGAGCTGTAGTTATGCTAAAATAATTAACTCCAGACTTGGGGTCCATACCTCGCCTTGACCCCTGTGCCCCTGCCTCCTGTTAGCCTCAGTTTATATTCTCTTGCCTCACAGTTGGGGTGTGTGTGTATGTGTGTGTGCATGTACGAAGCCCTTTACATCAGTGGCTCCTTTACCAAGCTGCTTTATTTTAGTTTTCATTTTGCTCTGCAGCTCCAGTCGGGTCCCTGTCCTTTATTTGTCTGGGTGGTTCAGAATTCAGCATTTCAAATTTTACCGGCCACCATCCTTTAAAATGGATTAATCATTGCCCCTAACACATCTAACAAATTTCCATCTTGACAGCTTTGCTCATATTTTAAAACTCAATAAATACTTACTAAATGCCTATTATGTCCTAGTCAGAGGATATGATGACAAATTATAATTCCCGGTTTTGCAGGGACTGGAAGAGACAGACAAACCAACAATTATATAACCGGCTGGTATGTAAAGCAATAGAGAAATGTAGCCGGTGCCCGGGATACAGGGAGAAAAGGCACCTACCGGGGCCTGGGGAAAGCTTTCTAGGGAGCTGACCCTAAAGGGGACATGATTCGAGACTGAAACAAGGACACACAATAAGATAAATAAAAAGGGGGAGACATGAGGTGTGCTACAGGCTGGACACCAAGTTGTAAAAAGCCCTGGAAGCAACATGGTGATTTGGGAAACCGCAGGTATTTTGGTTGCTCACTGGGATTTGCG